GACCATCATTTTGCAAAAATGTTTGACTAATTTTATACAATAGGTTAGGGTTATTAGCTAAATATCCATTTTTTTCTAAGAAAAAAATATGTATATAATATTATGACTACCAGACATTGTGGTTGTACATTATTAATTACTGATAAATACTGATCCTTTTTTTGTAAATAATGTATCTCGATATTTATGCTTATCAAAGAAGGCTCCTTGTATTATCTTTTTATGATCTAACTTATTAATTAGCTGCAAGTCATCCATAAATGGTTGTAGCACTGGAAAACATTTTTAGGGACCGGATTATGCGAGTCTCTAAATGCTTTAAGGGCCAGCTATCTAGTTTTAACATCATAAATTAGGGACCAGAAATGTAGTCGTAGACAAAAGTCCTATGCCGATATTAGAAGGAGAGATCTAGAGTTTGATGTTGATGATTGAGTCTACTTGAAAATTTCACCCATGAAATGTGTGATAAGGTTTGGGAAGAAAGGGAAGCTTAGCCCTCGTTATGTTGGCCCATATCAGATTTTGAGGTGTGTTGGTAAAGTTGCTTATGAACTTGATTTGCTTAATGACTTGGCGTCGGTACATCTGGTTTTCCATGTCTCCTTGTTGAAGAAATGTGTTGGCGACCCAACATCCATTCTATCATTTGAGAATCTTGATATAAAAGAGGGTTTTTCTTATGAAGAGGTCTCGGTTGAGATTTTGGACAGGCAAGTTAAGAAGTTAAGAAATAAGGAAGTTGCTTCTGTAAATGCTTTTTAGAGGAATCAAAGAGTTGAGGATGCTACTTTGGAGGCGAGGCCAATATGACGTCCCTTTATCCCCATCTCTTTTCCTCCGACCCTATTCTAGCTTGAGGTATCTAGTCCCTCATGGTTCACTATTTTGATTTCATGTGTCTTAGTTATTCTCGTGTTTTTTCATGCATGCATGCTCATAAAAACTTGATTTTCTTGAGAAAAAAAGGTAACTTGACTGATTCCTTCGTGATTATGTGCAGTTGTGTATGATTTTCATGTACATATGAAATGATGTTTTGAATATGTTAAGCTCGGGGTTGATGTTCCTCCTTGGTTATGTGTTGTGATGAAGTGGTATTCTTATTGAGCTGTTAGATCTCTTTCCCTACCCTCCTTATGATGTCTTGAGTTCTATTCAAGGAAGAATGTTCCCAAGGGGGAGATATTGTAACACCTCGGATTTAGAACGGAAGGAAAATGCAGTTTTGGGCAGTTGTCCGTGTGTATATGTCCCAACTACGCAGCGTATGAGCACCTACTGGTTATAGATGGCAATCGTAGGAACTAGGAAAAATAAAATTTTGAAATCAAGTCAATTATCCTTTTTACGCTTCACAAGAACGGTCCATCAACTTTTTTACGAGTCGTAGATAGGTCTCGTAGGTGAGTCCCAAACATATAAAAATTTTGAGGGTCAAGGTTGAGTTCTATGGTTGGCATGTACAGTCCATAGGATGACCTACGAGTCGTACATAGGGTTCCGTCGAAATTGATTAACATTTGAAGTCCTGGTAACTTATCTACGGATGACTAGTACACTCCGTAGCAAGAACTCCACAATCCCATCAAATATCAAGAACTAAAGAAAACTTCAAGAACATAATTCAAGAATATCATACTATCAACTTTCTAGAAATCAATTTCGCTGAAAAAAACAAGATTGGCGCATGGGTTAACGAACCCAACGCTATGAAAGTCTCACATACCTCGTGGGATGATATCCTTGATGAAATCCGCAATCAATTCCTTACGAAGACGACGAATCATTGCTTCTTCTCCTCTTTTCTCCTCTTCTTTTCTCTTCTCTCAAAACCCTAACTCTTTTTTCAAAAGCGTAAATTGATCAAGTTCATTTTAGACCTCAACTAATTAGCAAAAATGAAATTAAAATAATAGGATATGGAAAAGACCAAACTACCCTTCCAAAAATTCGGATTAGACTTTCCTATTTGAACAGCTCAACTTCAAATGGGCATATCTCACTCATATAAACTCGGAATCGCTCAAACTCGGCGGCGTTGGAAAGATAATTCCAAGGTCTTTCCTAAGGTATCTGTAAGCACACCTAACTCATCTTGAGCTAGGATTTATGGTCGTTTGAAGTTGACCTAAAAACTCAACTTTGCTTAACTTAACAAATTTCCAAGATTTTTCATTCTTTCCTAAAATGACTCTTTCCGATTCTAACTCTTTCTAGTTCTTTCAAATAGTGAGATGTTACAAAACTGAATCTTGCCTGCAAACTCACTGCAAAACAGATATCTGGTCGAGTAGTTTTAGCAAGGTATATTAGTGCCCTGATTACAACTAAGATATGGAGTTTCATCACCAAGAAGCTTTTCATCCTTCTCTTGAGGCCGAAATGGATCTGTATTGATGTCAAGCGATCTTACCACCATTGGGGTACTCAATTGATGTGATTTATCCATGTAAAAGCGCTTTAATATCTTTTTTGTGTATGTTGATTGATGGACAAGTATTCCATTTGGTAAATTCTCAATCTGTAGGTCAAGACAACATTTTGTCTTGCCAAGATCTTTCATTTCAATTTCCCTTTTCAGACACTCAACGGCTTCTAAAAGCTCTTTACGAGTGCCAGTTATGTTCAAATCATCAATATACATGGTTATTATAACAAATTCAGATTCCGACCGTTTAATGAAAATTCAAGGACAAATCTGGTCATTTTTGTACCCTTTCTTTAGAAAATATTCACTTAGACGATTGTGCCACATCCTCCCTAATTGTTTCAATCCATATAAAGATTTTTGAAACTTTATTGAACAAGTTTCTCTTGAATCTTTGTATGCTTCAAATTTTCATAAAAATGTCATGGTCCAATGAGCCATATAGATAGGTTGTGACAATGTCCATTAGGCGCATTTCAAGCTTTTCATGAACTGCCAGATTTATTAGATATCTGAAGGTGATTGAATCCACCTCAGGAGAATATGTCTCCATGTAATCAATGTCAGGTCTTTGAGAAAAACCTTGAGCAACAAGTCGGGCTTTATATCTCACGACTTCACTTTTTTAATTTTTTCGCATGAAAACCCATTTGTACCCCCCCCCCCACTGGCTGGATTCCTTCAAGTGTTTGGATTATTAGTCCAAAAACTTTACATTTTTCTAGTGAAGCCAATTTTGTTTGAATTGTGTCCTTCCATTTTGGCCAATCATTTCTCTGTCTACATTCGTCGACAGATTTTGGCTCAAAATCTTCATCTTGTTGCATTATTTCAACAGCAACATTATAGGCAAACATGTTGTCAATCAAACATTATTCCGGTTCCACCTCTTTCTCATCGAGACATAATTCATTGAAATTTCTTTATTCTCATTATTTTCAAAAAATTGAACCTCTTCGGAGGTTTCACCATGTGTTATGACTCGGGTCTCTTCTTGAGAAATTTCTTTCACCCTCATGATCATTTATTCTGTTTCTCTTTCGGGGATTTTCATCCTTGGAACCAATTGGTCTACCATGCTTCAAATGTGGTCTAGACTCATTTACCTTAACAATTTGTCCCGTCGGGACATCAACTCGAACTGGAGCATTAGCCAACTGGAATATGCGATCTAGTAACTCTTGGAAGATTAGTAAAAGCATCTGGCAGTTGATTCGCAATATTCTGTAAATAAATTATTTTTTGAACTTCTTGCTCACATTGATTTGTTCGAGGATCCAGATGAGATAGTGATGATAAATTCCAATCTATCTCTTTTCCCAACGGCTATGTTCTCCCCCTAATGTTGGGTATACTGATTCATCAAAATGACAATCAGCAAATCTTGCCTTAAATAAATCTTCAGTCATAGGATCCAAATATTTTATGATTGAAAGAGATTCATACCCAACATATATCCCCAACCTTCTTTGGGGCCCATCTTTATGCGTTGTGGTGGATTATTCGGAACATATACCGCACATCCAAAAATTCTAAGATGGGAAATATTTGGCTCTTTAAGATGTCCCCATGTGAATTCTCAATTATTTTGCGCATCATATTAAAATCGGGATGGCCCAACCGGCCATGCCAAATGATAAAATCATTAAAATTAGCAAACAAAATGTTTGCTACGGCATATGATTCAACTGTACTTATACTTGTATAGTACAACTCAGAAGAAAGTGCAGGTAATTTTTCATGCAAAATTTTCTTCTCTGTATTAATTGTAGTAATGTAAAGGTACTCAACCTTTCCTTTATTAGCAGTCTCAACATAATAGTCATTTTGACGAATAACTTTGAAACTTAATAAGTTTCTTTCAGACTTACTACAATATAATGCATTGTCAATAGTCAATATTGTCCATCCGGGTAGTAATAAGGTCATTCTTTCAAATCCCTCAATTAATTTTGTACTACCTGTTATTGTATTAACATACGCCATTTTCATAACCAAATTAGAAAAGTATTTATTTTCTCTTAATATAGTATGTGTTGTAGCACTATCAAGAAGGCAGACATCTCCATTACCCATCTTCGATCGAATTGACAACTGCAGATTTCTATTAATTTTCATTAAAATAAAAATACATCAAAAGAAGTACGAAATAAAACTAACAACAAAAAATTTAAGTACTTCAACATAAAGAACATGATAATTAGAAAAAACACAAAAGTATACTAGCAACAGACTGCATTCCCCGACTAAACGATCAAACTTCAGTTTCGATCTCCAAAGAAGTCATACACTTCCATATGAGTAATATCATTAAGGCCATCAAAAACATGATCCTTTAAAGTCAAATTTGCTTCAACATCCTTATCATATTTCTGAGATGTTCTCGGTTTATCATCTTTAAGAGTCAAATGTGACTCAACTAGAGCATTGGAAGATGAGGCACCACCTTTATTTCCTTTTCTTTTAAAGGAATTTTGGTAGAGTCTAATAAAATTCTCAGGTGTCCGACATTCACTCTTCCAATGGCCTTTCATGCCACAACGATGAAAATTATTTTTGAGGGGTTATTTTAAGAACTCATGTTGTTCTCCGTTTTATTATGACCACCACCTCGACGATTGTTGTATCGTCTCTTATCTTTGCCACGTTCCCGCACATTATTATAGCCCCGATGATCATCTCTTTTTACTTCAGATTGATCATGTGCTTCTACCACATTCGCTTCCGGTAACGGAGCAGCTCTAGTGGGACGAGCTTCATGATTTTTCATTGAAAGGGCATTATGTTGCTCAGCCACCAGAAGGCATGAGATCAATTCAGAGTATTTCTGAAAACTCTTTTCACGATATTGCTGCTGCAATATCACATTTGAGGTATGGAAAGCAGTAAGTGTCTGTTTCAATATGTCCTCATCTTTATAATCTCCCCACATAACTTCAATTGGGAGGTTATCCTGAATACAACAGAGTTGTATTCAATTACGGTCTTAAAATCTTGAAACCATAAGTGCTTCCACTCATAACGAATTCTTGGCAATACTGTAGCTTTTAGGTGGTCATACCTCCCCTTCAAATCAGTCCACAATTCAAGTGGATCTTTTACCGTCAGATATTCAATCTTCAGGCCCTCATCAAGATGATGACGAAGGAAAATCATAGCCTTCACCTTATCTTGGCTTGATGCTTCATTTCCCTGAGTAATGGTGACATCAAGACCTTTAGCAGCTAAGTGAATCTCAGCATCGAGTACCCATGAAAGGTAATTTTTTTCAGAAATATCTAGTGCCACAAACTCAAGTTTGGATAAATTCGACATGATGAGATTATGAGAGAATAGATGAATTAAATAAGAGTATTTAGATAATACCTTTGCAAGTAGGAACTTCGTGCTAATAACGTATTATAAAAGAAAGCTCAGAATAATATAATATAGTATAATATATTAAGAAGAAGAAGACAATAAGTATAGATAGAAGTGAGAATGTTTTTTATATTCAAGTGTGTCTTCCAAATAATGAATGATATCTCTATTTATAGTGATGGGATATCACTCCCAAAGGTCACAAACTAGTAGATACATAGTTATCCAAATGGGTTTTATCACCTTGGAAGCATATACACATGAATTAACTCTTGAATAAATCTAATGGACACTCCACACAATTTAATGGATATATATAGTCTTGGACACGTGCTTTGCACGTGAGTACTATGAAAGGTATGTCCTACTGTCAAAATCACATTTTAATCAGTATCACAAGCTATTCAAAAAAAAAAGATGAACAATCAATGTATTCAAATAACTTCTTTATTGTATGTCAAATGATTATACATTTGATGAACCTACAAAATTTAGTTTTGTAATTAAAATAATGAGTTAGATTTTTATGTTATTAGGTCCAAACATATGATACATTAGTATGTGCAAAAATGAATAACAAAAATGATTAATGGTTCTCATTTAAATGCACAATAAGAAAAATTCTACATATACCTTAAATTGATATATATACTTCAAGTCCAACACCCATACAATTCTAAATGCTTCATGGAAGAAAAATTCTATAATGGAGAAAGAAAGCAAGAACGAAAAGTTGAGGTTATTGCAAAGAAAGTTTTCATGCTCTGAAAAGAAAACTTTGTTATTGTTAGAGACAACATATCAACATAAAACTGTTCACTGTTTAATACTACACATGTATTAAATTTACTCTCTTTTTTCCGCTGCTATTTTTCTTCTTGATTACCAATTTTCAGCATTTTTTTGGCTATCCTCACTTGCAACTTCTAACTGTCTTACCTTCTCATGTTGAATTGTGCAATTTCATTAATTCGATTTCCTATTGTGAGCTTCCATCTTTGTAAGTTAGTTCTTAAATAGCATTAGGAAATGACCCTTTAAATTCAAATTTTAATTCTGAAATTGATTTCTACATTAAAGTGATGAATGACTTTCCATATCATAACTTTTCAAATTCTTCCATTATGAGATTTATGATTACGATTAAAAGCAATATCAATGTACTCATTTATCAAGAAAATGATAATTAAATTATTAAAGAGCTTAAGGACTTCAAATTCTATCATTATGTAATTAAAATATTTATATTTAATCAAATTTTAATTTAGTAGAGGAGCAAAATTGTAGTACAACTTTTCACTTTGGAGCTTCCCACTTATTATAATAATAATAATAATAAAATAATAATAATAATAATATATATATATATATATATATGATATATATATGATATATATACACCGTGTAGGTGTTATAACATACTGCAACTAACATACTTTATGCTAGAATAAATTATTTTTGATAGTTAATATTGTAAAAAAAGTTGTACTATATCAAAAGAAAAATTATTGATATAGAAAGAAAGAACAAGAGTAAAAGAGCCGGTATGTAAATTATATATTATGGAAAAAACAAATATGAGATAAGGTAACTGATTATGTATTTTAAGATTTTTCCAAAAAGAGAAGCTGAAAGCGTAGATAATCAACTGATCCAAATAAGTTAGTGATGAATTGATTTACAAAGAATGATGATACCAGTAAGTAAGCAGAGGTAGCTAATAGATTCTCTCGGCTGTGGAAACTGGACGTAAGAAAATAACAATAACAGTTATATTGTCTTTGCTGCCTCTTTCTGCAGCTTCTGTCGCTAACCTCTTTGAACACATTCCTGCTTCTTTCACTGTGTCTCTGATTATGTTCACTACATCTTTCTCACTAACAACATCCCAAAGCCCATCACTCGCCATTACCTGATAAAGCAAATAAACATGCATCACTATATACATATCATCATTTTAAATCCAAACAAAACAAGCATCGGAACTGTAACATCATAACTAGCATCACTATATGCATATTCTCAACTGCTGGAGCAATTAATTGAGAGTTGTTGGTAATCAACCTTGGTGCATACACATTATCAAGTCAAGATTAGAAGCAAAATGGCGACGAGAATGTCCTAATATACACAGAATAAAGGAGACCACGAGAAGAGGAAAAATAAAGAAAAGACAAAGGGGATTCACGAGATAATAGTGTGCTCTTTCTATACACAAGGGGTTACATATCTCTCACCAGGGACCCTAATCTCCTATTTTGCTCCTTTAGAATTACTCCATCCACAACTGGCTGATAAATGATCTATCAAGTTATCTGGAGATAGAAAACTAGAAAGCTAGCAAACACTTGACCAAAAACCTTTCTGGCTTAATTGGTGGCATATTCCGCATATCAAAGATAATTAAGCGTAAAATGTTTTAATGATATGCAACTTCAATTTAACTGGATGGCTAGCGCCCAAAGACAAGCACAATGAACTCATAGAATTAGGTAAGGAACAAGAATTCAAGGGTTTGGATTTTGGACTAACTTTTCTTAACTAATAACAACTATGCATACCTTACTATGAATGCCTTGAAATGACCTTGTGAGTGCCCTTCAAAAATCTAATGCACTTAACAAAATCCAATATCAGCATTACAAATTCCTTTCCCCACACAAAATATTCACGCTACCAGTTAAATTAATATCCAATCCCCTATTAAAACCAGAGGAGAAAGGGAAGAAAACGAAAACAGAAGTACCCATAGGCCATACATTTCAAAGTCAAATCAAAAAGTCTGACTGTACCCATACATGTCAAAGTCAAAGTAATAAGAGTGGCTGCAAAGAGGAAGCAACAACAGTCAAGGAAACATAGGGCCTCAAACAAACAAATGATATTAGTAACAGACCGGAGTCGATGTCCTCAGCTGTATGTTATTTGTCATTATGTTTAATGGAAGTTGAAAAACAGACCCTAATGTGGGAACTGATTGTGCAACAACGCAGTATGTGTTTGCAAATAACTTGTTTTGATAGAACCAGAGATAAGAAGCTAAATCCAATCTGAGAATCAACTTATTGGTCTGGAAGTGGGTAAAATGTGGTCACATATAAACATATAGATAGATTCACTACTAGGATTTGATAACAATAAGTAGTCATTGAAATATCACGGAATGAAATTTTGTTGTTGTAATCCTTACAATGTATTCATCTTCGGCAGAAAGAGTAGTTGAAGTTATCTCAGGTTCCGCAGTTACAGCTGGCTTCAGATCATCATCGCCGATAGACCTTGTGACCTAGAGAAAGTAAATGCAATCAGATTACTAAATGATAATACAATATCTATATTTTGGAAGATCCTAAATCACCAACTATTTCTTCCATTGTTGTCCTCACAAGGCCCGCCTGAATCACCAACTGTTGAAAATATGCATTCTGCCAAATACAGATCCATTGCTATTTGCTGCTAGTCTAGAGGTGTCGACCACCCCCACATATAATTTTCGAATGTCAAATATTTTCCATACTTCTATAACACAAGTCATTAACTTATCATTCGTCATACAATACATGAAGAAGGAGTCAAGGTAGTACATTCAATGACCACTTATTCTGATATTAATACATTTATAACTTGTATAACAACTTGATCATTGAGCTTCATGATATCTAAACATTTTATAACAGTTAATGAATGAATATAATGCAGACACCACTTTCCCTTACTAAGGATTGGATAATATGATATATATATATATATATATATACACTTTCCCTTACTAAAAGGATTGGATAATGTGTATATACATTTGGACCATGCACCAGTGCTACTTTTTTTAACATCACATAGCTTATTGTATCTATTTCAAATGGAACTGGGATCAGAAGGCAAGTGAAAATCTTCCAGACAAAGGATTCTTCTGATCAAAAATATAACAAGGGAACTACTCCAACAAACTGGGAAGTTTGCATAAATGCAGACTTCTAGAATATATAAACACATATAGAAGGGACAAACAAGAACATCCAAGCCGAAGCTGAAAATTGGCAAGAATTTGGTAGAAATGGAAGAAAAAAAATGTGCTCTGGATACTATGCTAATCATTAAGCAGTGGCTATGAAAATATGTATGTGAACTTGGGAAGACTAACCTGGAGAGCCGCATCACCCACCCTCCATGTATCCACTTGCCATTTGACAAGGCCACCTGCACGGATAATACGTTCCCGCTCCTCAAGACAACTTGCAACATGATCCTATAACAGTACCGTATATCAGTGGAAATGCAAAGCCTTCTGATTCGTCAGAAAGTTAGCTAAGAAAATGAATCATCTCACCCTACTTAGAGCATATGGGATCCCAGATCGACACAAGATTGTTCTGCAATCACCAGCATTAGCAACAATAAGTTTGTTTCTGACGATAAGAGCAGCTATTGCAGTACAACCAGGGTGCCAATCTTTCTGAACTGCTCCCTTGCGTTTGCGAGAAGAATCAAGTTGTGTCCTGAATGCAACATCTGTCTTTATGAATGCTTCAAAAAGCGCATCAGAGGGACTGCAAAGTCATAAACATCCAAGAGTTGAGTGCCTTGACTCTTTAAAAACTTCTTGGTCATTCACAAACAAAAAAATCACAAGTTAAGCATGTAAAACCTGCAAACTGAACCAAGATTCTGCAAAAATCCTGGCAAAGCTCCAGAGGAAAACTCAGCAGCTGCTGAACCTGTAGGCACACTAGTTAAGACGGCCATATTCCAGTGAAAAATGTTTCTAATAAGTTTCACTTACGCGAAATAAAATGGCTTCATAGTGGCTGGTATCTCCTTTGTTGCTTAACCATAAAGTACAATCACTTAGGTAAGAAAATTACTTTAGCATCCTCAAAACTTCACTTTAACATCAGTTGCTATTAGAATACCAAATTATTCAAATATTTTTTAATTTTTTTTATGAGAACAAAATTATTCAATTTTAAAGAGCTTGGAGAAATGGAAAGTTCATTTTCGAGTACAACAAACAGCAAATATTAAGGAATCAAATGCCAACACAGTTTCCAGATTAAAGGGATGCTGCTCTCTGTAATAATGCCAAATTAGAGGTGAAGTTAGTATAGTCCAACAAAAGGAGTTAACTATTCAATCATTTTGTCAAACCCTTTTGGACAACGTCACAAGATTCTGTTAAAATACACTAATAATAGCAAGATATTAGCCACTTCATTATTATTACTATCTTAGCTTGCATTGCTCTTGAGTTTTGTTACTGTTATTACTATATAAAAGTGCAGAAAAAGCTTATATGATATTGGACACAATGTTCCTTGTTTTTCAAAAACCAAGTAGTAAAGACATGAGGTATGATACCAACGTGTTCTTCCAAAAATTACTAGACACCCACATTTCCAGCTCTTCAATCTAACAAAGCTAATGAGAACATTCAGTTTGGATGTGTGTAACAAATTATTTATTTCCCTTCTAAATGATAGTTAACCTAAGGGTAAAATGGTAGGAATTCAGAAATTTGTTCAATCCCGTTTCCTTTTTTTTCTACATGCTGAATACTCGGTGGTCATTCAATTCAACAGTAAGAATCACAACAGAGGAAGGACTTGGTATACTACCTCGATGACCATCAAAGATTGCAAAGATGTGAATATCCTTTTCATCACACAACTGAGGCATAAGGAAGTGTCTATCTTCCATTGTTTCCCTTCTCCCACATGATGCAAAGGAACCCCAAGACAGAACTGGACTATAGATATGATCATCTGAAGAATCCAGCCATGTGCTAGCAGCAAGGGCAGTAGGAACTCTTTTCAAAAAGTCTTTACCTTGACTGAACCAGCTAATATTCTCCTGATAGCTTTGGAAATTTGCAGCATCAACACCATTTGAAGAAATAAAAGCTTCCCCTGAGGCCTTCTCCATACAGCCCCTTCGAACTTCATGTTCCAGAATGAAATCAAGTTCCACGACAATATCATCAAAAGAAGGCCTATTTTGCGGATCTTTATCCCAACATCTTTCTATCAAAGAGACTAAACTTGCTGGAGCACCGGATTGAAGGTCAGCTAGAACGGGTCGTAAGCCTTCAGATACAACGGCTGCAGTAAGTTGCTGCTCGGTGTAGTTCATTTCAAGCACCGTATGGGCCTGCCATACATAGATATAGGAACCAGAAAGCATCTAAGATATATGACAGACAAAATCAACTGCTAGTAACGTCTTTCCAAATGTAAAAAAAGATCATGTATTTGGAAAAATAGTTTCTTGAATTAAAAACCAACTCCCATCTTGTATGTGAAGGAGAAAAACTGCAAGTTCTCTGTCATTTCAAAAGGAGAACCGCATTCAATGAATCTTTATAACCATAAAATTGCTTCTATCTAGTGGGTGTTTGGATTGACTTATTTTTAATGGCTTTTGGCTTTTAAGCTATTTTTTAGTTTTGGAAGTGTTTGGGTAAGCACTTTTTTAAGGCTGAAAAAGTACCAAAATAAGCCAAAAGTCAAAAATTGGGCGTCCCCAACTTATGACTTTCGGCTTTTGGCTTATAAGTCACTTAAAAAAGCCATACAAACAACCCCCTAGTATAGTGATCAGACATACAAGATTAGAAAATGCACGACTAGAATGAGCATACCTTTGATTGGCTTCAAAAAATTAGTCTATTGTAGCAATAAATATTCATTTAACATCTTGATGAAAAGGAAATGGAAGTTAAAACATATAATCTACTCTTAAGAAAATAGATTTTTCTATTGGATCATCGCATTGGTTCATTTACTTTCCTAGTATAGTAGATGCTATCACACATACAATCATACTTACATACTTCTCCTTTGACCTTTTCCACTGTTATAATAGCTAATGGATAAAAAATTGCAGTTAAAGCAATAGGTGAGACTCACCTTCTTCCCTCATTACTATTACTTGAGTCCTACAGCCCAGAGTGTTCATACAACTTAATATATATTAGTACATAAATCAAGAACATGTTGGTCTAACGTAGTCGGTTTGTCTATTCCTATGTAGAATCATGGTACCCTTCGGGGGTGGCCCAATGGTTTGGGCTTGGGACTTTCATGTTGGAGGTCTCAAGTTCGAAACCCCTTGCCAGCGAAAGTAAGGGGTTTGCCTTCTGGGTCGAGCTCGTTGCACCGGGCTTGCCTAGTGCAGGTTATCTCTCCTATGTGGTTTGCAAGTTATTGCATAGGAGCTGGGGTTTTACCCTATGAGCACCCAAAGGGTAGCGGCTACGGGTTTCCCTTGTCATCAAAAAGAAAATCATGATTTCGCCATTTCAGCACTGTTGTCAGGCAATTCCACATACTTTCATGTGAAGCAACTCGTTCAGTATTTCAAATACATTCTTTTCATGGCAAGCACATTTTCTTGATCATTTATATTGATGACATTTTCATAATAGGTAATCATGGAAATATCACCCCAGTTAAACAATATCTCCAGTTATTTTAAAACTAAGGATTTTTGGAACTTGAAACATTTTTGAGGCACCGAAAAGGCACGATGCGGTAGTGGTTTTGTCATTTCATAATGAAAAAATAATGGAAGAAACTGGTATGAGAGACTGCAAACCTACTGATACCCCAAATGTTTAACTTGTTCCTGGAGACGGAGCCTCCGAAGGATAGGTTGATACAGGAGACTTGTTAACTAACTCATCTCATAATTACACAAACCGTCATCTCATTCAGTTTTACTGTGCTGAGTCAGTTTCTCCAAGCTCCTTGCAATAGTAAATGGAGTGTTGTAATTTGAATTCTCAGAGGTCTCCTGGAAGGACGGTTATATGAGAACAATGCACATGTAAAGATTGTTAAGTAATTTTTATGCAAAGTGGCAGGATCTCCTTTAAATAGATGATCCACATCAGTATATTGCATTTAAATGGTGGTAATCTGATATCTTGGTAAAGTATGGCCAGATCAAGTGTAGGGCATCTAGCCGTAGATTTAGTCACATGTAAGCCTATACGATAAAACCATTCTATCAAGAATCGCTGATGGAAAGAATCGGGGGAAAAGGGTCAAAAATACCCCTCAACTTTGTTTTATTAGTTGATTATACCCTTGCCGTTAAAAAGAAGTTATTTTTACCCCTGCCGTTACTAATCTCATTATTTATACCCCTCAATTGGATGGAAAGCCCAAATCAGCTAAAAATACCCAACTTCGATTGAATGATCCGATTTTCTCTTTTAACCCAAACCCGACCCACTAAAATCAAATTAAACCCCAAACCCATCTTCTAATGTTCTTCCTCCATTGAAACACCATCGAAGATAACTTGACCCCATTCATGGTGTTTCTTCGCAACCGTTGCTCAAACCCATAGTAATTACTGCATCCTCAAACACCCTTTAGCTCATCTTACTCAACCCATATCGGCAAAAACTTCAGCTTTTAGGCGTTTTCTTGATGCTCATTGTTGCGTGAGTATTATAGCCTGACATTGGATTGAATTGAATTCCCCCATGGGAAATTCGGTTATGTATTTGATTTTGCTAATGAGAGTATTTTGATATGGTGATTTACAGGAAGTACGAGGAATTAGTCCATCATATGTTGAAGATTTTTGTTACATTACGGGCCATACGTATACAAAGGAAGTGGTGGTGGGCCATAGATTACAACTGTGTGAAATTTTTACATTCTTTGGTGGTTGCTTCTGTTCTATTCCTTTCAAGGTTTACACTACAACCAAATGCACATTTATGGAGTGCAACTCTTCAACGATATTCAGGATATAAAGCATCATACTTGAAGGAATGTATTCTTATCCTTCATCACTTTCTAAGTTTTTTATCAGATGTGAGAGAAAAAGAGAAGAGATGGGTTTGTTGTTATTTGTTACTATTTAGTATTGTGGGTCGGGTTTGGGTTAGGGTTAAAATATAAAATTGGGTAATTTCAATTGAAATTGGGTTACATTAAGTCAATTTAGGGTTTTCCATCCAATTGAGGGGTATAAATGATGAGATTAGTAACGACAGGGATAAAAATAACTTCTTTTTAACGGCAAGGGTATAGTCAACCAATAAAATAAAGTTGAGGGGCATTTTTTACCCTTTTCCCAAGAATCAATAACACCAATCAAACCACAATACATATGGTTTAATACCCCGTATTTCACGGAAGACCAAAACACATAGGGATAGATTGTCAGTTTTATCAAAAGATCAAATCAGTATGTACTTTTATTAATTTCGTCAAAATTCAAATGAATAATTTTGCCGATATCCTAACAAAACAACTTCAAGACTAACGAATAGCTTTCGCAACAAGATGGTAGCATATAATATGTACATGTCCGTTTAAAGTTAAGTGTTGAGATAGGCTCCCTCCATTTCATTTTGTGTCTTCACTTGACTAGGCACAAAGTTTTAAAATGTAAAGAAGACTTTAGAATCTTGTGGTATTAAACTAAAGGTGTGTATAATATACCAGAAATACCCTTTGAATGTTGTGGACTTAAACAAATCATCTCATTCTTACAAGGGATTGTCACTAAAAATAAAATGGAAATATTGGAATTATAAACCTACTCCCTCTATCCCAATTTATATTTCTCACTGCCCTGTTTAGTCCCTCCCAAAAAGAATGACACAATTCCTTATTTGGCAAGTGTTTACTGACACTATCAACGTTTTACCCTTGTTGGATCCGACTTATTTGGCAAGAAATTAATAAAAGTGTACTCTTCTATTTAAAAACCCATTTACTTCGGGGGTAGTTTTGGAACATTGCAAAGTCTTCTCATATTTCTTAAACTCCATGTCCAGTCAAACTATGTCACAGAAATTGGGACGGAGGGAGTACTAAATATAGAAAGGTATTTTTTTAAATAAACTAAAAAGGTACGAAAGATGCATAAATGGAATTGTATAGTATCTCTACTTTTTTGGTGTAAACAGTTGTGTATAGTAGGTACAGATCAAATTGTAGATTTGATAGGAAGTTTGTAATTGACACTTTTTGGTGGTGGCCAGCATGCCCTTAATGCTGAAGAATACAACCTTACCAGTTTTAGAAAAAAAAAATGCATAAATTAAAACGGAGAGAGTAGCAACATAATGTAATGTCAATTTGGTACATCCATTACAGTAAATTAGGAAGATTCTCTGCATCTTACTAGGTATTCATTAGAATCCTTCCAATTTTAGAGCATGCGTACGTCAATATTTTAAGTCTCAATAGCATGAGAGAATAATTGAGCTGGTAGTACCAATTTTCTTCTTCTCTTCTTCTCATTCTACATTCTGGAAAGACCATATATGGTGTGCAGAACTGTTTACCCAACAAAAGGAAATAGAGCTGAAGAATACTTGACTGTCTAATGGAGGGTCTTTTTTTCTTATTTTTATGAAAGGTAAAATTTACCTTAAATTTGATAGGAATGAAGGCCGACAATTTGCCGACACTAACTAGCTTGAGATTAAGGTGTAACTAGTATGGTAATTAAATGTTGACTATTTGGGGAAGTGAAAAGAACACCAACCTGTGTCTCAGCACGAAGATCAGTGTATGGAACTATGCCAGTAAGAAGTTCACTGCAACATGATAAATCCACAAGCTCTTAGAATGTAGAAATACAAAAATACATTTCAAAAAAAGTTTCAAATAAAGAGTTAGTCCATGCATGTTTTAGGCTTTTAGCATCAATTACAAACTGAGGACAGGTTAATCCGTGTTACTGCTAGCAGCCCCATCAACGTATTTGCCAACATAGCATCACTAACCAAAGAGAAAAGGATATGCCAGTAGATTGGATACAGTAACACAAAACTAGCTCATTATGGGAACAACCTGGTCTTTGTCATGATCCATTAAAAAGAAGCTAATAATAGAAAATAAAAGCAATGCTGCTGCAAACTTCGAGCCGAGGAGTTAATGAGTAATAGAAAATAGAAGCAATGCTGCTGCAAACATCGAGCCGAAAGTCTAACGGAAACAGTCTCTCTACCTTCTCAAGGTAGGGGTAAGGTGCACTCTACTCTCCCTAGACCACCCGTGGGATTACACTGGGTTTGTTGTTGTTGTCTCTGCAAATAGCAATGTGTCTCAAATTATTATCATGGGACACACAAAAGTTTCTGAAAACCACACTTCCTGAAATAAATTCTGAGACCTTAAGAGGTCACACAATCTTCTTCTTGCATGAGTAGCCCATACAGAGTTCTTAAATTCTTATCACAATATTGTAAAGGTGGTAAGAGGTATGTCACCTAGAAAAGCTAATATGTTTGTTTCAATAATTAAGACTGAAACATAGGACTTGGGCAGTTACCCATGAAACATCTTGCATGAAAAATCTGAAGAAGTCAATTATATCCAAGTTGGGGAAAACAATGCCCAAACCACTTTTGACAACTCAGAAGGCCTTTCGGTGAGCAATCTTCTATCTGATAATAATTAGGGCTGTCAAAAAAAAAAAAAAAAAGAGAATACACAGTAGCTGATTAACTTACTTCTACACACAAGAACCTCGACAGATCCATGTGGATGCAGAGATAGGGTATCAAGATAATGACTTAAAGTAGCTGACGGTCTACAGAAGCTGCATTAATCACTGAATCAACATCATTAAATGTTTTCAGCTTGTTTGCGTAACCGACTATGTTTGGAAGACAACAAGTTCACATAATTTGCGAAGTTTACAACAGCTACATGGTGGACAAGTAATCAATTCAGCTTTGCTAAGCAAGCAGTGGAAGTGATGTGAGCATCAAATTACCAGAGCTATTACCCATGAAATTTACCACTCTTTGTGACATTTATCAAAAGAGAAATATCTACCTTGCAGCACACTGAAACAATGATTCTTCAACTGAAGAAATTTTGATGAAGTCAAAGCTAAAGCATTCCATTTAAATTTTCTGGAGCATCTTTTTTTGTTTTGTTTTGTTAACCGTGGTCTCCAGCCAGCTTGTGCACCTCGACTAATTCCACGGATACTTCTACCTCCCACTAGCAACATGCACCAAGTAACTCTGTCCACCAAGGCTAGAACACAGGAAATAATCACCTAGGGGTTGTTTGGTGTGAACGATAACACCAAATAGTCATGGGATTAAATTATAGTGTCACTTAATTTGTTGTTTGATTGGCATGTCCGGGATAACTTATTCCGGGATTAATAATTAGTACCGGAATAAGTTATCCCTCCCCTGGGGTGGTATAGTAATTCTAAGATAACTTATCCCGGTATAAAATAGGTAAATGACAAAGATATCCCTTTGAACCCTTTTTATACATCACTTTTCATATTCATGAAGGATATTTTTGTGAACATATAACTTGTTCGTAAAATTCATGCAACGTATATTATTTTGAATACAACAAATACAACAAACAAAACATTCAATAAGAAATAAACTCAACATAACTTATCCATCATAACTAATACCAGCATAACTTATTCCATCATAACTTGTATGCAAACCAAACTACTCCCTAGTGTTCTATCTCTGTTGGGATTTGAACCTGAGACCTCATGATGCTCAACCTACTTTATTGACCACTAGGCTACACCCTTGGGTACAATTTTCTTGAGCATTTTTAGCTTCAAATTGTTGTATATATCCATGTTTATGTTTCAGATATCATTACATAGAGAACATTCAGTTCAGGTGGGAGTTTTCTGTATGAAGGTTGAGGGTTAATGTATTTACTAGATATCTCCAGACTGTGAATGTCTATTAGTTTCCAGTATCTGTAAGATGAACATATGAGACGGTTTAAGGTAGACAAGTACGTGTTTTGGAATGTGAATGGATGAGTTTTCACTTGCTAGGGATGGATTGTTTTACCCTATATGGAGCATGTATCATGTTTATGCTGATCTTTTTCCTCTAGAATTTATATAACAACAACATACCCAATGAAATCCCACCAAATGGAGTCTGGTTAGAGTTTATATACAGCTAAATTATTTATTTGGATTCAATTCATTGAACTTCTGATAGAAATATTCAGCCCTTGTGCTTCCAGCCTTCTCACCACTCCATATTCATGGAGAAATCACATCCCCGAATTATGACAACAAATCAATGATTCTATATAGGAAGAAACTTGTTTAGAAGCAAAACAACATTCAAACAGCACATAGTATACATTGAAAGCAGGCATAACAAGTTACTAGCAGGTATGTAAACTTGCAGAATCACTTCCATTTCTTATTGTGATGCAATGCAGCTGGTGACTACAATACTTACTTCACTGTTATTCCAAAGCTATATACATCAGACTTTTCAGTGTGGATCTCTTTCGTCAGCACCTCTGGTGCCATGTAAATAAGCGTACCAACCATATTCCTCTTATGGAAACCTCCAGTTGGCTTGCCAGTCGATTTCCAGTTTTCAGTGGAAACTAGTTTAAGATTTTTTTTGTATTCGGCCAAACCAAAGTCCGCGAGATGTGGTTGTAGCTGTCTATCAAGCTGCAGTATAGCGAAAAAAATCAATGGAAGTTTATCATTGAGATAATTGGGAGAGGGACTTATTTAAAGTGGACAATGATATACATAAAAACTGCAAAAAGAATCAGGAAGATCAAAGACATTACGAGAATGTTTGCTGGTTTCACATCCCTGTGCACAATCCCAAGGTTATGTAGGTACTGTAAGGCCTTTGCTGTAAAAGGCGAGAGCACTGTAAATTTGCTACCATTGAATTGATTTTTTTTCATTAACAGAGGAATAAAGGAGAGAAAACAAAGTAGCCTAAACAATTCAATACATTTCCTATGTAGCCAAAAACAGTAGGGTAGTTGGTGTGCTTTGATATCAAAAGTGTTCGGAGAAAGAAATGCCATTTAAGCAAACATATTCTATGCTTAAAGCCATTTGGAAAGATAGCCAGTTTTAGGGAAAACTTGAGGAAGTAGAAAAAGTGTGGGATATACTTAACTTTAGTAGGAAAAAACATCTTAGCTAGAAGATTACTCTTTCATCCGCAAATGTAACTGGGACTCAACAAGATGTGATGGCGTTTCCTGAAACATCCTGGTATTTGCTTCACCTCCTCCAAATTTTCTATTGCATTCCCACCACTCAATGATTTTTCTTTCTATATATTTCATCATGGTTAAATAAATTCTCAATAGCGGATATAACTATTAAACTACAAATTCTCATAGCAGTCCAGGTGTCTAGTAATGATTCAAGTGTCATCCAATGCCCTTTCTTTCCCTTTTTATTTTTAGTCCATATGTGTCATCTACTATCAATGACAATCTGATATTGTAGTCTTCCAATAGACGCTTAATTGCTTTTTATTTTTTAATAACCACAGTGTCATGCGCACACCTCAACTAAATTCATGGGGACATCAGCTACCTCCCACCAGCACATGTCTATCCACTAAAGCTTAGCCAGATGGAAAAAAATCACCTAATGTTTTTTGCCTCAGCTAGGAATTGAATTTGCCATCTCATGGGTCTTAACTCACTTCATTAATGAATATTTTCCTAATCACACTCAATAGCATAGCATTCTCAATGCAAGTTTCACAAGATTGATCACTTACATGATCCTTCATGGAAAATGTTATAAATTCTTTGGAATTACATTACATCATTAACCTTATTCGATAGGTTAAACAATCCCCACACCGAAGAAAAAAGAAGTTAGTATTATCCATGATTACGTGGAAAAAGACAAGCAGCTGGAAAATGCACATGCATAACACACCTAAACGAGCTGCGATTTCAAGTGTATGTCTGATACTTGGACTCCATTCATCCACGTGTAATTTCCCGGCAAGATTTCCAGACTCATAGTATTCAAAGAAAAACATGTAATTTGGCGGCTTGGCGTGTGCCCCCACTAGCTTTGCTATCCCCCAATGATCCAATGTGCTATATCCAAAAGACATTTTAACAGAACTTAACAAACAAATATATTAACTATCCTCAAAAACATAACAATAACTCATGATATTCTTGTAGGGAAACACAACAACAACAAGTAGGGAGTATCCTCATATGGCTTAAAAGGTAGATATTCTAGTTTTGTCAATCAGAAATTGTAATTTTGCATACGGAAATATACGGAGAAGGGCCTAAAATGACCTCAACTATTTGAATTGGTACAAAACTATCCTCCGTCCTCCTTTCGGCCCCCAAATAACCTAGACGTCATTTTTTTGGCTCAATAATACCCCTGACGTCAATCTTTTGGCTAAAAAATATCTTTATTTCTAACGGTTCACACTCCTAAGGTGGATGGAGGGCAATATTGTACCAAATCACATAGTTTAAGAGCATTTTAGGCCCTTCTCTGTTAAAATAATTTGAAATTACTTAATCAATATATGGACTCATATGATTGACCTGATTTTGAGTTCCATAGTAAAATCACCTCCCCACCCCCCTTCACTTCCTCTCTCTTCCACTTTTCTCTTCTGCGATCTTTTCAATCACTTTAAATTTAATTTTCTTAAACTTGTGGCATTCATATAGAAATAATTTGTTCCAAGAGGCAGTATTTGGGGCCAAAAGGTTAATGTCAGGGTATTTGGAGCCGAAAGTTAGATGGAGGATAGTTGAGAGGCATTTCAGGCCATAAATAAATACCAATTTTGGTCATAGGTAAGGACAAAGTAAGAACTACTTACTTTGCTGTTCAATGATATCTACTTTGCAATATAGAAAACACATTTCAAATTAATCAAACAAAATAAGGGAGGAAATTCACCACAATAATTGCAGTTCTTTATGGAACTTATCAATGTCTTCAGATGTGGACAAGATTGGTTTTTTAGCAGCAACTCTTTTACCATCAAGAATGGCTTCATATACCACACTTTCAGCCCCTGCAACCAAATAAAGATTAGTAAAAATTTGGTATGTAGCTGCATGTCTGTAGAGATTTTAAAGTGTAAAATGAATAAGACCTCGAGCAATAGGGTGAGAGAGAGAATAAGAAGGAGGAGGGAGATGAATGGGGATTTTTTGGCTGGTACAACAACCACGAATGCAAGTGTTAGGTTGCAAGATTTCCAGGCCCATGTTCACCAATTCCCTGTCTTCTCTTCCTCGTGAAATTGTATAAGAAAATTAAGAAATGGGCACCTGAACAAGTGATCAGATTCTTCAGCTGAAGGTGGACCCAAGTGACCCAATTGGAGGAACTTTCCGCGGTTGGTAAGCAACTTCGTCCACCATTGACCCACCATATGATCAAATACACATTTTTTGCCACATTTCTTTTGATAAAATACATAAAAAATTCCTCAACTTTACGGATAATTCTTTATCCCTTAACTTTATTCACGTGAATCAATACATCCTCAAAAGCATATGAACCACACTTAAGGGTCGTTTAGCACGGAGTTTAAGAGAAATAGTTCATATATTATGTATGATATTTTTAGTACTGTGTTAGATGGAATTTTGGGCATATATATAACTAATTAATAGATTAGTTATACACCCTACATGGTATTATAGGAGGTATAATTAATACCTTCTATTTGGTGGTATTAGTAATACATAAAATTTAATATCATGGGATTAATCTATATTTGTACTAGAAATTTTTTAAATAAATTAGCTTACAAATTTTATTATTTAGAAAGAGTTGTTTATTGCTAAATAAAATCAAAACAAATCAATACAATATTCGAAATGGGAGTTGTTTAACATTTACTAATTGAAAAGACAAATATATGACCACATGACGTTTTTGATCTTAAATGAATATATTATTTGTTGATATATATGTGATTTTTTAATTATTTGTATATTGAACAATTTATAAAATTGCACACATATCAAAACTACAACTTGCAATATTTATGTGTAAGCGTAGATGGTTTATTTGATTTTACTATTGTTTACCATCTTTTTGGTTTAAAAGTATATGGTCTATATTTTTTTTTAAATGAAAATTGATGTTTTTTGAGTAATCAATTTATTGAGATGACAATTATTTACCCTCTATTAACACCTCGAATTTCGAAAAGGGAAAAGGTTGGATAAATTGTAGCTACTTGTTCAGGTCTAGAGGACCAGTCTACGGGTCGTAGAAATTTTTACTGGTCGTAAACCTGTCTCGTAGAAATGGGAGAATATTTTTTGAAAAATGATGTTCTAGTATCTCATGCTATGGTTGACCCGGAGGATCTGTCGAATGATCTATGGGTCGTAGATAGGTTCCGTAGAAGCAATCCTGACTTACTAAAAATTTGGGGTTAAGGTTGAGTTCTACGAGTAGGGTCAACGAACTGTAGGAAGCAATCCAAAGTATACCCTAGTAGTAACATGGCGTATAAAATCCTGAAAGGCCCTACACAAGCCAGCATACATCATACAAAATAATGGAAATAAAGATTTCAAATGAAACAGTCTTATATCATAAAAGAGTTTGACAAAGCGAAAGTCTAACATAAGTCTCAACTATCCATCTACTAACTCAAAGGAAGCAGTTGGAACGTAACCCATACACTACGTACAAATGTCTGAAAACTAGAATGATATAAAGTTATAAAAGTGTCTTGGTCCGGCCCTCGGATCATGAGGACTCACCAATCTTCAAATGTCAAATGGATCAACTAGCCACGAGTATGAGAGGTAGGAGCATCGAGCCCTACATTATGAAACAATGCAAGCACAAGTATGCATTAGTACATGTAATGTACTAAGTATGATAGCAATGCGTAAGAGTTATGAAATCATGCTAAAAAGGGACTTTACATGACATGCAATGACCAAGCTAAATCATAAGATCAAAGGTTAGAAAACATAAGTCATAATCATACTCAATGCAAGTTTAACATCTTCAAAATACTTTGTGAGATACTTTAAAAGTAACCTTAGTTCATTATTGTGAGAAGCTTACCATTAACCGACATAAACTATGTGAGCTATAACATGAAATCCAGTGTACTGCTCCCACACCAAAAATCCTACATGCCAAGGTAAGGAATATGAGTCTGAGCTAAGGTGGATCCACTAGGTAATGTCTATCTGAGACAACATCCTATGGTGGCACATAGTTTGGGACAAAGAGATTGCTACTAGAGACCCGACCTCTACAGCGGGAGAGCCTCAATCTCAATGTCATTAATCATATTCATATTATGATTCATGGAAAAGCACAATTAAGTTTACTAATACAAGCTAGAAATATCATAGAGTATCTACTTAAACCATGCGTGATAAAACCTTTCACCATCGATAATCTTTTCATAATAACTTTATAAGACCCATAGACATTAACTTCATACTAAAGTGTCATACTACTATTGATATTAGTTTTAGAAACTTGGTCCATGATCATTGATGGCATATTTGACTACCATACTAATCAAAACATAATATATATAAATAATCAAAAGCATTAATGGAAAATCTAGATGACATTCATGTCATATGGCCAAGCTTCGTAGAAAATATAGATACCTTCATCTATAAGCTTACTTAAGTCATAAACATTGTTTTCATAAAACATGCATAATTTCCATAAATCATAATTCATAAGCTTCATCATCTGTTCATAGTCAAAAATCATGGAGCATGCATGGGTTTCATATGAATTCAACTTGAAATCATGTAAGTACTTCAATTCATGAATTATAAGATAGAAAACAAGTAATTGAATTGTAATTGAAGAGAACACTTGAAGATTGAATAAAACCCTAACTTTGAATTGAGAATCTAAGTTGCAAAATTGGAAGATCTTTGAGGAACCCTATGGAGGAAAGGACTTCATAGGTGAATACTAACATACCTTAGTAATCAAGGCCCAATAGCTATGGTGAATTGAGAATCTTAAAGTGAAACTCTAGTTGCTTCTTCCTTAGCCTTAGAGAGGATTTTGGGGATGATCTTGGAGGGAAATTTAGAAATTAGGTGAATGATTTAAAATGGATGGTTTTAGGACCTATATCACTTATATAGGTCTAGAAATAAGGGTTAAAACGACATAGCTTAGGTACCGAACACAAAGGAAAAGACCTAAAATAGTCCTAACTTTAAAAGTTGATGGGTGACCTATATGAACCCCTAAACGGACTGTATAGGTCAACATGGTCCATTTATGGAACCGTACAAAGGAGGCCAAAAATTAGGTTGCCCTAAATGGCCAGCCACTTTCCCTAAACGTCTAGTGATACCCTAACAGACTCTTTAGGATTCCGTAAAGGGGTCATGGTCCATTTTGGGTTCGTAAAGGTTAACTCACTTTAACCTTTTTCAAAGCCCTGTGTGTTACAATATCTCCCTCTTGGAAACATTTGTCCTCGAATGAAACTCAAGCTAGCATGAAAATAGTAGAAGAGAAACTAGCAACCCAACATGAATGCAATTCATCCAAATGCGCGTCTAGTGATACCCTAACGGACTATTTAGGATTCCGTAAAGGGTTCATGGTCCATTTTGGGTTCGTGAATTTGCCCGTTAACTCATTTTAACCTTTTTCAAAGCCCTATGTGTTACAATATCTCCCTCTTGGAAACATTCGTCCTTGAATGAAACTCAAGCTAGCATGAAAATAGTAGGAGAGAAACTAGCAACCCAACATGAATGCAATTCATCCAAATACGCGTCTAGTGATACCCTAACGGACTGTTTAGGATTCCGTAAAGGGTTCATGGTCTATTTTGGGTTCGTGAATTTGCCCTTTAACTCATTTTAACCTTTTTCAAAGCCCTATGTGTTACAATATCTCCCTCTTGGAAACATTCGTCCTTGAATGAAACTCAAGCTAGCATGAAAATAGTAGGAGAGAAACTAGCAACCCAACATGAATGTAATTCATCCAAATGCACATAACCAAGGAGGAACATTGACTCCAAGCTAAAACATATTCAAAACATCATTTCATAAGGAATACATGCATATTGTAGTCAAATGCACATAATCATGAAGAAATCAATCAAGCTAAATCATATCTTCAAAAAATCAGAATTTTCATAAGCATGTATGCATGAGGAAACATGAGACTGACTAAGAACGCAAGAATCCTAAGGAGTGCGTGTAACACCTTAGAAATCAGACTTAATGTTGTTATTGTTGATCTTAGGCGTATTTATGCGCCTAATAACCAATTTATCTGATATATATAGCAAAGTTTGAGAGCAAATTCCTAATCAAAACTGAAATTTTAGAGTCCATTGATTGTGTTTTCCTCTAACCAATATGATTAGATGTTTCAGGGTGAAAAGCAAAGAAAAAGGAGCGAAAAAGGACACTATGCAAAAGGTCAGAGAATAGAAGCCGAAGTTGCTAAGGAGAAGGGCCAAGAAACTAAAAAAATACACTGCAAGGGAGCAACTCCGCGTCGCGGACCTGAAGCCAGTATGTGGAAAACAATTTAATTCAACAGTGGAGTGCGCGCCAGGAGCGCATCGCTGAGAGGATCCAATTGTGCACAAATTATTGCGAGGGAACAGGTCCGCGTTGCGGACCTGGACTTCAAAATTGAGTCACGTGTTTTATTTCAGACTATAAATAGTTCAGTTGTATTATTTTATCATTATTCAATTTTTGAAAAATGGAAGAACATCGATTTGGGAAATTTTGCTGACACTATCTAGGGCTTTTCTTCTAGTCCTTCATTTTGGTAAACATTTCTATGATCTTTGAACATTATTGGATGATGTTTTATTATATGATCGAGTAGTTAAATTCCCTTATTCTAGGGTTGTAGCTACGATTAATGGTGTAATAATATTTGTTTCTAGCATGAGATGGATTTTCTTATGATTTATGCTCACATTCTTGTTTAACTATTTTAATGACTGATCAACATTAAAATAAACTCATTGTCCGCTCTTGAAATCGAAAGACGAATAAAGGGATAGACCAAAGAATGTGAGAAGCGTGTTCATTCTAGGGTAAAACTTAGAGTGTTTCGTATATAGGATAGGTTTATACTTATATGCCGCATTTGATTAATATACAAGATGATAGCTTAATGCTCCGACATTGGTTCATGCATGCCTATCTTCGCTCTACGATGTAGTTAGGTTGTTAATGGTGGTAGGCGATTAGAGGTCGGGAGATCATGATCGTAAAATTAACCTTGTGAGTCAATAATAAGGATATCATGTCGAATGATAGGATAAGTTATTATTGTGCTTGAAATCGGTATATGTTACAACCCTGGAATATTTTCCCAAATTGCAAAATTCCCTTGTTTGAAGCTGTTTAATTGTAGTAATTAATATTTGAGA